GTACTACCTATCAACAGAGTTTGTATTCAAACATCTAGGTTCGGGTTTCTGTGGGCAAAACTGAAGTCTAAATTGCAAGCTTTATCAGATTTGTAATTCTGTCTTGAAAGAAAACTTTGAAAAATAACATGCCTACGGCCGATCTAACTGTATTACTACTTACTTTATTTTCGAGAAATTAATATATTAAGGATATTTTAAAAACATTAAACAAGTATTAAAAAAACGCATTAAATTTGGAAAACTGATAACAAAAAACCTCACATAAAACGCCATAGTCGTCGCATCGCGTTCTAATCGACATTAAAACCACGTGACATCAAAATAACCTAAAACACATTTTTTTGCATAGACACGGAGACTGAAATAATAACCACTTATTCACCTTCTAATTTGGTGCGATATTAACATTACACTTGCACTAGATTGGTTAACACAAACTTATTGCCCTGCAAACGGTCTATACTATTAATTCGTATATTATATACGACATGTTTAGACATAGATATTTTATTTCGGGCATATATCAATATACAAGTACCTTTTAATCTATAGTTACGTTCAAAGTACATAAATTTGTCACTATTTAGGTCACCACTAATTGAAACTTTGAGTTGCCATAGCACCAGCATAGTAGGGGGTACGTCAGTTAAGTAAAGTGTTTGCCGCAGAAACACAACTATGGCACGACCCTTGGAAAAACCAGTAGACGCAATGCCTGCTTAGTGACACTTCGTGTAAACTAAGTTTCCAACGAAGTTCATGGACTCCAGCAACTAATACAACCTATAACTCAATACAGATGTGAGTTGACGGTGAGTACTTCGGTGTGTTTTGGGTTGATGTTTGTATACCCTCCCCGGACAATTCTAACTTGGATATTTCACCATTTATTAATGCGCCAGACAAAGCCAAACGTACCACAGTACTACTAGCCTTATATATCATCTCGTGTTGGGCTAGTCTGTCTGTCAGTCTGTCATTAAATTAAAGCAGCGGCGTATATATAGTTTAGCTTCCCAGCGTACTGGTTTAGAGAAAAGACACAGGCGTTTTTGCAAACTGCCAATTCAAACTGTTATGTTAAAACATGCAATAAATAAATAAATAAGATAAATGTTGGCAATTTTTGTCTGGAAATGTTTTTGGAGTTTTTTGGGGTAGACGTGTGTAAATACACATACCTCGGTACCTATTTTAGCTTTATCAAGTAGGTTTGCACCAGACATGACCCAGTCAGTAATAACATTCCCATTATTCATAGTCGAGCACAATGGTGCACTGATAGGGGATCAATAAAGCCATGGTTTCATCTCTATCATTCGTTTAATTATTTTCAAAATATCAAGGTGTGTTTTGCTTTGACGCCGTGATATGCTAACTCGGTACCGTATCAACACAATTTAGATTTCCCCAAGACTCTGGTTAATTGCGTTACATTTATCTCAATATGGAATCCAAATAACATTGATTTCGGTGAAACATCGACTCTTCTCAAATACTAAGGATAGTGTATTGAATTAAAGTTGATTCAACGGAGAAGCGGAACAACATTTAGTCACATCTGAGCCTGAGGAAGAAAGATTGTATACATTTTTACATCACTCGGAGGAAGGTGCAGCTTATTTAGATTCGTATAACCGGAAATGTAATGCTTTACTGTTATGTGTGTGATAACGTCGTATACCGTACGTCGGGTGAGGGGGGGGGGATGTAACAGCCAACATTCAATTTCTGCGTTATGTTATGTCCTGGGGGGAGTTCCACTTTTAGTGGATAGGGGGGTGCAGCCCACCTCTTGTATTTCATAATCACTTCTAAACCATTTTTTTTTCTAT